TGAGATTAGATTCAAAACTATGACACGAGTCCAAACTATAGTAGCTAAGAACCACAATTCGCGCCCTCGCGCGTGGAGCGGAGTTTCGAGCGGTCTACAGACTCAAATCGGGTTCCCGGATTAGGAGTTAAAGCGGGATTTCACTTTAGGCAAACTAGTTCCTTAAGAAACTTGAATTCGAGGTGTTGACACCCCAAAATCACCAAATGAGGTCGGATTGGCACAAAACTTGGCACACATGACCGCCTAGGCACGAGAGAATTGTGAAAGAAGATGGGGCTCGAATCGGGTTCCTAGTTTGGGAATTAGAGTCGGATATCACTCTAGGCAAACTAGTTCCTTAAGAAACTTGAATTCGAAGTGTTGACGCCCCCAAATCACCAAATAGGATCGGATTGGCACGAAACTTGGCACACATGACCTCCTAGGCACGAGAGACTTGTGGGAGAAGACGAGGCTCTAATCAGGTTCCCGGTTTGGGAGTTAGAGTCGGATATCACTCTAGGAAAACTAGTTCTTTAAGAAACTTGAATTCAAGGTGTTGACGCCCCAAAATCACCAAACGGGGTTGGATTGACACGAAACTTGGCACACACGACCGCCTAGGCATGAGAGACTTGTGGGAGAAGACGGGACTCCAATCGGGTTCCCGGTTTGGGAGTTAGAGCCGTATTTCACTCTAAGCAAACTAGTTCCTTAAGAAACTAGAATTCGAGGTGTTGACACCCCAAAGTGTTGACACCCCAAAGTGTTGACACCCCAAAATCACCAAAAGGGGTCAGATTGGCACGAAACTTAGCACACACGACCGCTTAGGCATGAGAGACTTGTGGGAGAAGACAGGGCTCCAATCAAGTTCCCGGTTTGGGAGTTAGAGTCGTATTTTGGTCTAGGTAAACTAGTTCCTTAAGAAACCTGAATTCAAGGTGTTGACGCCCCAAAATCACCAAACGGGGTCAGATTGGCACGAAACTTGGCACACACGACCGCCTAGGCATGAGAAACTTGTGGGAGAAGACGGGGCTCAAATCGGGTTCCCGGTTTGGGAGTTAGAGCCAGATATTACTCTAGGCAAACCAGTTCCTTAAGAAACTTAAATTCGAGGTGTTGACGCCCCAAAATCACCAAACGGCGTTGGTTTAGCACGAAACTTGGCACACATGACCGCCGAGGCATGAGAGACTTGTGGGAGAAGACGAGACTCCAATCGGGTTCTTGGTTTGGGAGTTAGAGTCGGATATCACTCTAGGCAAACTAGTTTCTTAAGAAATTTGAATTCGAGCTGTTGACGCCCCAAAATCACCAAACAGGGTCGGATTAGCACGAAACTTGGCACACATGACCGCCTAGGCACGAGGGACTTGTGGGAGAAGACGGGGCTCTAATTGGGTTCCTGGTTTGAGAGTTAGAGTCGGATATCACTCTAGGCAAACTAGTTCCGTAAAAAATTTGAATTCGAGGTGTTGACGCCCCAAAATCACCAAACGGGGTCGGATTGGCATGAAACTTGGCACAAACGACCGCCTAGGCACGAGAGACTTGTGGGAGAAGACGGGACTCCAATCAGGTTCTCGGTTTGGGAGTTAGAGCCGTATTTTGCTCTAAGCAAACTAGTTCCTTAAGAAATTAGAATTCGAGGTGTTGACGCTCCAAAATCACCAAAAGGGGTCGGATTGGCACGAAACTTGGCACATACGACCGCCTAGGCACGAGAGACTTGTGGGAGAAGACGGGGCTCGAATCGAGTTCCCAGTTTGGGAGTTAGGGCTGGATTTCGGTCTAGTCAAAATTATTTACTTAACTATCTTTGTAATTATATAGTAATTAATTTTTTATGTTTTTTTTGTAATTAAAATATTAACACATAATTATATTGTCATTAATTATTTTTATTTTTTATTTTCAGATATTTCCTAAGTAGCAGTTTGTTTCTTGTGGAATGCAGGCGTGTGAAAATTGTGACTAACTTTTGTTTTTGTAACCCCCGGAAGAATCATGACGAAAACTTTTATTTTTTATTTACGTTATTTAGATTTGTGAACAACATTATGTATGTATTATGCAACATTATGTGGTGGGATAATTTTGCTGATGTGCTGTTATGAATGGATGAATATTTTAATTATGGATGAATTTTTATTTATATACTGAAATTTTTATATTATTATGTAATTATTGATTTTTTTTAGTTATTTTTCATTTAATATAGGTAATTTTTATATTTTTAATAATTTTATTGTAGTTTTTTTTTTTTGAGACGGCACCATACCGTCTCAAAAAAATTAAAATCAGGGTTTTTGAGACGGTAGTATAGCCGTCGCAAAAGACATTGGCATTATTGATTAGTTGAAACAAAAGACCTTTAGCGACGGTATTCTTTACCGTTGCAAATAATATTTTTAAAGACGGCATGTTTGCAGTCTCAAATAACCATTTAGTGACGGTATTTTTGCCGTCGCAAATAACCCATTTAGCGACGGCACCACGATGCCGTCTCAAAAAATTCAGATTTCCACGCATTAATGTCGACAGTATTTTGCCTTCGCAAAAAGGCATTTTTGCCATCGCAAAAAATAGGCAACGACGTTATACTGTTGCTAAAGCCCTTTAGCAACCCCTTTTGTTGTGACCCCCCTCTTGCCGTCGCTAAAAGCCAGTTGCCGTCATAAAAAAATAAATTTTTTGTATTGGTTTCTCGTCAAAAGAGTTAGGTAATATTGTCCAAGAATTTTTTTTTTTTTTGTCCTTGTTTAATTATGTGCCTCCTCTTTTGGAGGTTTATGAAGTAAAATAAATTAGATTATCTTTTTCACCAAATAAAGGTTCACTGCAAGGGTTTTGGCTAAATTTCCTTTCTTTTTTTAACTCAAAAAAAATTAAATTTAGGTCTATTGGCCCAATAATTTCAAAAATAGACCTTTGTTTGAGTACCCTTATAATTATTTATTTTTTTGCACTTTTCTTACTCTTGATAAAATAAAAGAGCAATGTTAGGAATATCAAAATTATTATAAAAAAATTGCTATCAAACACTCATATTGGTGTAGAACTTACACTCATGTGAGTGATAAAGTTTTTGATGTAATATTTGGAATTTTTAGCATTTATGAAAGTAAAAAGTGATAGCTACCAAACAACATTTTCTATAATCAATGAAAAAAGAATTGAGTTGGGTGAAAGGAATAAAATGAGACTAAATTAACATAATATAAAAAACATAAAAAAATAAAGGGACAAGTATAATTTAGTGTAAATTTTTTAATATAATTTCAGATCAATGTTAAATTTTATGAACATTAATAATTAAAATTTTAAACTTTATGAACAGTGTCACACATAAATCAATTGAATAACTTGACTTTTTTTATTTTGTATAAGTGTGTTTTGGAAAGATGGTTAAAAGTTTACTTTTTTAATTTTTTTAATTTTTTTTATTATTTTATATAAAAAATAATGTGACTCAAAATAAATTAAAAACTAGTTTTTTACTTTTAATCCGTGTTTCGAAATGACCCTATATATGCCCACACTACAAATCTTCAACACTCAATTGACGCATTTCAAATTTTGCACACACAGCCTACAACTCACTCACAATCTCTTTTTGAATGTAATACCCTTGTCAAAAACACTAATAGAAGAAATGTTCAAAAAGTGAAATATATGGGAGAAGACGGGGCTCGAATCGAGTTCCCAGTTTGGGAGTTAGGGCTGGATTTCGATCTAGTCAAAATTATTTACTTAACTATCTTTGTAATTATATAGTAATTAATTTTTTATGTTTTTTTTGTAATTAAAATATTAACACATAATTATATTGTCATTAATTATTTTTATTTTTTATTTTCAGATATTTCCTAAGTAGCAGTTTGTTTCTTGTGGAATGCAGGCGTGTGAAAATTGTGACTAACTTTTGTTTTTGTAACCCCCGGAAGAATCATGACGAAAACTTTTATTTTTTATTTACGTTATTTAGATTTGTGAACAACATTATGTATGTATTATGCAACATTATGTGGTGGGATAATTTTGCTGATGTGCTGTTATGAATGGATGAATATTTTAATTATGGATGAATTTTTATTTATATACTGAAATTTTTATATTATTATGTAATTATTGATTTTTTTTAGTTATTTTTCATTTAATATAGGTAATTTTCATATTTTTAATAATTTTATTGTAGTTTTTTTTTTTGAGACGGCACCATACCGTCTCAAAAAAATTAAAATCAGGGTTTTTGCGACGGTAGTATAGCCGTCGCAAAAGACATTGGCATTATTAATTAGTTGAAACAAAAGACCTTTAGCGACGGTATTCTTTACCGTTGCAAATAATATTTTTAAAGACGGCATGTTTGCAGTCTCAAATAACCATTTAGTGACGGTATTTTTGCCGTCGCAAATAACCCATTTAGCGACGGCACCACGATGCCGTCTCAAAAAATTCAGATTTCCACGCATTAATGTCGACAGTATTTTGCCTTCGCAAAAAGGCATTTTTGCCATCGCAAAAAATAGGCAACGACGTTATACTGTTGCTAAAGCCCTTTAGCAACCCCTTTTGTTGTGACCCCCCTCTTGCCGTCGCTAAAAGCCAGTTGCCGTCATAAAAAAATAAATTTTTTGTATTGGTTTCTCGTCAAAAGAGTTAGGTAATATTGTCCAAGAATTTTTTTTTTTTTTACTCTATTCTTACTTAATTATGTGCCTCCTCCTTAAGGGGTTTACGAAGCAAAATAAATTAGGTTGTCCTTCACCAAATAAGGATCCAATGGAGGAGTGGTTTTGGCTAAATTTTTCTTTTGACTTTTGTGAAAGTAAAAAATATATATATTAGATTTAAATGTGATATTTTATTTTATTAATTTTTAATCTATTTTATTTTTTTATAAATAATTTAACCCAAAAAGATAATGCCAAATGAAGCCTTAATAAAAAAGTGAAGCTAAATTAATTATCCTCAAAGCCTAATAAACCCATAGAATTTCCCTGCACAAAAAAATGTGACCGTTGCAACTCCACCGCCCCTTTATATACAAAGACTGCCCCATTTGAAGGCCTCCTGAAAACTACACACACATTCGAAATCAAAGAGAAATCGCAGAAAGAAACAGAGATTTTCTAGGAAAAGGGGCAAGAAAATCGACTGGAAAGCACGAGAAAATTCTATTGAACAAGCAAGAAAGATCAAATCGATACAATTTATCAGCCGTGAGTTCTTCCTCTCTTAAACCCTACTGACATGTTTGGCTGCAAAGAAAACGTATGAGTTAGAGGGAGAGAAAGCATTTTATTTGCTTTTCCTCTCTGTTTTGTTACCGATTCAACTGAGAGTATATTGTTCTGTTCTTTTCTTTTTTGCTTTTTTTTTTTGTTTTGTGAAACCCCAAGATCTCTGTTCATTGGGCCGTATATGTGGTCTTTCCAAAACCCTAAGGGGTTTGTTTGGTTGCGTGGAAAATTTAGAGAAGACAAGCATTCAAAGCCTATATTTCTTTGAAATTCTATTTCTTTTTGGTAACGTAAAGAATTGAGGGGATTCCTTTGTTTTTCTCAGTAACCAAACGGTACTATTATTATTATTAATTTTTTTTTTTTTTGGTTTCTTTTTTGAGGTTTTGTTTTATCAAATTGCTAGAGTTGTGACTTACATCAATTTAATATTATTATTAGTATTTTTATAATTTATCTACATATTCTATCAATATAAAAGTTGTGTATGCAATGTGGGGTTTTGGTGTTTCATGGAATAGATGATTGCAATTATCCAGTAAAGAGTCGATGAATTTTTGCTTTGAACACAATACTATGTTGAAACTATTTGGGTTTTAGGGATTTGTAATGAAAAATAGTTGAATGATTTTATGTTATGGTTTCCATTGTCTTTGTAGTGGCATGAGGTGTAGCAAACAATATGAAGGGTTTTTTTGGAAGGTAACATACTTGTTCTGGTATCACTAAAAAGGCAATCTAAATTCTAAAGGGGTTTATTGAATTAAAAGTAGTTGTGTAATAGTTGTGTAATAGCATATTCTAGATACAGGGGGTAGTAAATAAGAAACTTTCATTCACCAGATACTACTTTTCAAAGGGGTTTCATTTTGTTTAGCTAATTGATCATGACAAAAACAGGAGTTTAAAGTGATGGTTGGATAGTTGGGAACTAGATTAAATGTGAATAACAAAAACAACCACCATTGTCACCTACATTTCGGGAATAGGTTGGATGTCCACCTCCTGGGCAAAAAATTTAATTAGGATAATTGAAGAATATATATAATTACATTCGCCACATTTCAAAACCTTAATAGTGATATATATAAATTGTGATAATTGACAAGCCTAAGACTCCATTGGGATATTGAGTAATGCAATTGGCAAACAGGTTATTGAAGAATTTATAATTTTAGATGAATTGTGTGGGTATGTCTAGCCTATTTATTAGGATTTTGAGGAATGCCATTTTTTGGTTGTGTTTGAGAACTGTTTGATATTATCACTAACTTCAAAGTTTCTTTGGACCTGGGTAATTTTTGGATTATACAAAACATTGTGTTGTTGTTGACCCTGTTGATAGGACTTTTTGGATACCAATCATGCATGCCTGAGTAAGTCAATAGAAAGAAGATAAATTTGGGGTCCTGTAACCTATTCTTCTATACTGATTTTGTTTTTTCATCTTCCCTCCAGTCAAAACACAACAATACTGATTCGTTAATGTTTGGGACTTCATTATAGAATGCAGAAGTCGTAGCTGCTATTAACAGCTTCAAGTTAACTAATATTGAATCAAGAATAACTCGTTTCTTTGTCCGTAGTGTGTTCTTTAGTTGACTTGTAGATTACTTGTATGTATCAACACCCATTGCTGACATTGAACTGGTTTGCAGGCGAAATACATCGATGGCAACTCAAACCAGGGGCCTAATTCGAGACCAGAATCTAAATGTTCACTTTGATGGTACTTGTTCATTTTCCCCCCATGATTGTCTATTATCCAATCTGTTGATAAGATCTCATGGTGGTTCAACTTTTATGTCTATTGCAGCGGCTCCTCTTGGGTTAAAGTCCAATGTTTCGAAGGCACAGAAGAATGGAGGGCTTGGTGGAAGGAAGGCACTTAACGATATATCTAACTCGGGGAGGCCTTCCACACTTCAGACATCAAAGAAGCACAACACGAAGAACATGATCTCTATTGAAGAAGATATTGGTCCCTCTAAAATGACATCTTCTATTGGAGGAAATAGAAATGTTTCAAAGGCTCCAGAGAAAGCACAAGCTGGTGGCAGGAAAGCACTCAGTGACCTCACAAACGCTGGGAAACATCCACATGTGCATCAGGCATTGAAGAAGAGTCAGGATAAGAAGTTGAGTGTTGTTGCAGAAGAACAAATTCTTCCCTGTAATGTTTCAGAGGAACAATTTCTGCATAATCATCAGGAATGCATCAAGGCACAGGGGAAGGCCATTGACATGGATTATTTTCTGAAGGCAGTTGGACTAGATAACGGTACTCAGAATTTGATACTTGTATCACCAATCTTTGATCTATTTTTTACTTTTGAGAAACCTACTTGACATTTATTTGCTTTCATATATAGATGATTGCTCCATGCAGTTAGGCTCTCCACTGTCGGGGAAATTGAAGGTTGGTACACATTTTATTTGGCTTCATAAATGTTTGTGTTTTCATGATTCGGGTATGGAAGATCACACAATGATATACTCTCTTTCTTCTTTCGGTTGTTGTTTCAGCCTGAGTCTCCCCCAAGGTACTCGGACATGGAACAGATGTTTGAGCTCGAGTATGAAGATCAATCTCAATGGAAGAAGCCTAGTGGACAAACTCCTTGTGGAAGCCCGAAATCACCCAAGCCTTGTATGCAGTGGAAGGATAACAACTTTCTCAATTTCACGTTGATGGAGTCACCGAAACACTGTTGAGAACCATAATTCCTTTGTGTTGTACTGGATTGAGAGTAGAGACATCCTTGCTAGTTCAGTCAATTAATTGACTGTGTTGTCTTTGCAGAACTTCATTCTTAGGATCCTATGGTTTTTGTTATTTGACCACCAATGAATATTGTCACTGATTCTATTAGTTTTGTAATTTGCTGTTTTTGGGTGAATGTGTAATTTGCTGTTGTTTTTCAAAAATTTCATGTTTGGCATGCACTTGCCTGGCATTTGATGGTTTATCATGAAAAACACCAATCTTCCCAGACTTGTGATGATGTACATGACATTCTGACTTGTGACGTACATGTTATATGGTTGGAAAATTGTTTGAGGGCTCGAATTTGGCTCGAAACCCAAAATGACGTTGGTTTGGGTTTCTTTTTTTTTTTCTTTTTTTTTCTTTTTCCTTTTTCTTCCTTTTCTTGTTTTTGAACACAGACACAGAGGCGAGAGAGAGAGAAAGGAGAGGAAAGAAGAGAAGAGAAGAAGGATTAAAGATGGGGAGAAGGAGGAGGAAGAGAAGAAGACGGTGATGGCAGAGGAGGAAGATCGACGGTGATGGCGGTGATCGGAGCTGGAGTTGAATCGGATCCGATTCTTTTTAATTTGAATCGGATCTTCTTTTTTTTTTTTTTTGGGCTGATGATGATGTGTTGATAATGAAGATGAAGATGTTGAATCGGATCGGATTTGATCTGATTTTTTTTTTTTTCTAGTTGATGATGTGTTGATGAAAATGTTGTGATTTGATGATGGATCTGATCTGATCTATTCTGAATTTTTTTTTTTTCCTCTTCTCTTTCTTCTTCTTCTGCTTGTTCTTTTTCTTCAAAACAGTGAGAAAGAAAAAAAGAAAAAAAAAATCCAAAACGACGTCGTTTTGGATTCAGGGCAAATTCGAGCTCGAACAATTCGGGCAACGTATCACAGTTGATATGGTTGCTTTATTCACATGACATTCTGATTTGATTCAACAACAGGCATTCTAAATGCATTTCATATATCGTCAGAATCCGAACCGTTCAAAACCGAAATTGGTAACTGATTGAGTTCATATACATCTTCACTTTCCTGTTTAATGTATTGATGATGCTTTTATACATTGAAAGTCATTTTTTCATTGGTGTTTTGGTTTGAAATGATTGGCATAGTTTCAACTATAATATTATGTGCCGAAAATTTTGTATTATTTGTCAGTTTGTTTTGTTGAGCATCATCCCTAGTTGTTGACAGTATTGTATGTTAGAGTGACTGAGATTTCAGCAACAGAATGTCCCCTTAAATGGTGGAACCAAAGATAATTAGGTATGCAAATTTGTGGAGTTCAAACTTGAGCTTTGAGCTCTTGCGCTCATCTAAAATTTAAATAATTAAGTTTGAGATCGGGCTCATCTAGTGTTTGAAAAAATCAAACAACCCTCGAGTCAATTAAATTATATAAAATAAATCAATAAATTCAGAATTGAAATATTATTAAAAATAAAATGTAGTTTACATATTTTTCTGTTTATGAGCTTAGTGGAACCAATTTGGGTATACTTGGGCTCTGCTAAATTACTAAACAGAGTTTAAAAATTTAACTCTACCAGACTACCACGTTCATTTGATTTGTTTGATACAATTTGACCCTACCCCTCGAGTCAATTTGATTTGTTCGATACAATATTCTACTCCTTTTCAGAGAAAGATTGCGAAGATTACAAGACTTAAGTTGTGGATTGCGTGGGATGGGCGATCGACGGCTGATAAAATCAATTGTTTAGATTAATGATAAGGGGGGTTATTTGGTGCAAGTTGTTTATAGATTTTTCTATTTTAAGAGTTTGCGTGATACTATTTCATGCTTATAATTTATTAAATACAAATAACTTAAGTAAACCAAAAATATTGATTATCTAAAAATTAAAAGAAGAGTACTTTTAACTTATATATTTTTTAATTATTAGTTTTCAGCCTAATGAAGAAAGATTGAACTTGTATGGTTTCAGAAAATTGAATTTTTTATTTTTAGTCAAAATTTTTAATATTTTAAGAATATTTTTAATGTTTAGATGCATACACTTAAAAGTATAATATTTATGAAATTTTTTTTTTTTAAAAATTCATAAAAAATAAAAAAAATATATATAAAAATTTAATACATTTTCGTATTCATGTGTATTTATTGAATTTCTTTAAATATTTTACATGCATCTAAAAAGTAAAATTAATGAATTTGTTTAAATATTTTATTTTTTAGGTGCATCTAAGTTTTGTACATTTAAAAAGTAAAAATTTAATTCAAATATTAAAAAAAATTTACTTAATTGTTTAAATATTTTATTTTTTAGGTGTATCTAAGTTATGTATATTTAAAAAGTAAAAATTTAATTCAAATATTAAAAAAAATTTTACTTAAAAAAAAAAAATCAATTTTTAGAAAATCAATCAAAACCAAACACAAAAAGTGGGCCAACGAAAAAAAAAAGGAAAATCAAGTGGGCCTTTATCATCCAACTGGGCCAACAAAAACAACCCCATCAGCCCATCTCATTGCGCTCATTTACAATCACGTGCAAAACTGAAGCTTTAAATCCAGACCATTGATTTTGATCAGCCGTTAATTAATCGATCAATCAAACGGCAAGTAAAGTGAACGCGCACACAATGCACATCTTAAAGTCTCACTCTCACTCACCCCCTCTCATCTAATCCTCATCTCTCTCTCTCTCTCTCTCTCTCTCTCTAGTAGTAGGAATGGGGGCTCTGAGACTACCTTCTCTCTCCTCCATATTCACCTCCTCCTCTTCCACCACCAGATGCCTCCGCTCGCCGTCGATTTTCCGGCGCCATCACCGCCTCCGCCTCAGCCTCCCTCCGCTTCCGCTCACAGCCGCCAATTTCTCCGCCCAGAGCACTGCCGAGAAAGAGGTTTCTCCGGTAACCAGCGAAGGCGCGAGCCAGAAGTCCAGAGTTCAAGACCGAGCCATAACGCCTCGGTCTCAGGACTTCAATGCTTGGTACCTCGACATCATTGCCAATGCTGAGCTCGCCGATTACGGCCCTGTTCGTGGTACTATGGTCATTCGACCCTACGGTTACGCCATTTGGGAAGCGATTCAGGTGAATATTTTTGAATTTATTCAAGTGTGGAGTTCTTTTGATTTGGATGTGATTCAATGAAATCTTGGATTAAGATTTGGTATTTTGCTTTTGTTTGATTTTTTTGCAGGATTATTTGAATGTTAAGTTCAAGGAGACTGGTCACAGTAATATGTATTTTCCACAGGTATGGTTATTAATTCACTCTGCGTGTAAATGTTTCCTGTTCAAGGAAATTCTACTATACATACTCTTAAAAATGTGCATATTGTATATCCTTTTGTAACTATATCACAATAATTCTTAACAAGAACACAAAAATTCATAACTTTAGGGTCTGGTTGATTAGAAAGACATAAATGGTGGAAAGTGAAAGTAGTAGAAAGTGAATTGAAAGAATGGAAAGGAAAAAAATATTTTCTTTTGTCAATTTGATTAAGATGAAAATTTTGCTAGGAAAGGCTATAAGGAACTACTTTTATAAACAAATTTAAACTTTGTATTTTCTTATATTTTTTGGCAAGAAACTAAAAGTTTAGGTGGCCTCTGGTAAGGTTTACATCTGGTAATTGATTTATGTTTATACAAAATTGTAAACTAGTTTTTGTTTGTTTTTAGAAAAACAAAAACTGCAAACATGTTTGATTTGAACAAAATGTTTGGAGAATTTTAAAAACAAAAATCCAAAACCATGTTTGTTAATTTTAAGGCATAAAATGTTTATTTTGTTTTATTATTATTATTATTATTATTATTATTATTTGATAAATAAATAAATAAACAAACATTATTAGAAAAGTGTTAAGATGATACAAAGAATACAAAATTTCAGACTCCTAAGGGGAAAAAAAGCTAAAATATCAAATCCTCCACAAAATCTACAAAAGTCAAAACATCTGAATCAATCAAACCCGTAACCCAATTATATTACACCATAAATAACTGCCTGTCCAACCAAGGAATCGAATGAGACACTCCTTGAAATACATGCCTGTTACACTCTAACTAAATAAGCCACATTAAACAGTGAGCGACAATCATCCATGTCTTCTAACGCCTCCTTCCAATCCGACCCCCAGCCCAACTTTGCAAAATTGCCAACACAGAACTTGGATGCACCCCAACCAAACTAAAAGTCGTAACAATAATCATCTAAAGCCGAGAAGTAATTGGACAATGAACAAGCAAATGTTCCACCAACTCGGCGTCCCCATAGCACAAACAACACCAATTTGCTAAGATATGCTTACACTGAATTAAATTATCAATCGTCAAAATGCGTCCTAAAATTGCCGTCCACACAAAGAAAGCTATCTTGGATGGCGTGTCCAACACCCAGACACACTTCCAAGGGAACAAACCCGCATCATCATGAACAAGTGCTCCATAAAACGAAGACACAAAAAGGAGCCCCGTAGAGCCCGGGTAAGCCCAAACCATAGAATCCTCCCCTCTACTATACACGCTTTTAAAAATTTGCACATTGTACATCCTTTTGTAACTGTATCACAATAATTCTTAACAAGAACATAAAAATTGATAACTTTAGGGTTTGGTTGATTAGAAAGACTTAAATAGTGGATAGTGGAAAGTGAATTAAAAGGATGAAAAGGAAGAAAATATTTTCTTTTGTGAATTTGATTAAGATGAGAATTTTGCTAGGAAAGAGAGAGAAATTAGGAATTTTAACTAGTAGGCTATAAGGAACTACTTTTATAGACAAATTTAAACTTTGTATTTTCCTATATTTTTTGCAAGAAACAAAAAGTTTAGGTGGCATCTAGTAATGTTTACGTTTACGTTTACGTTTACGTTTTTTTATTTATTTTTATAAAAAAATTGTAAACTAGTTTTTGTTTATTTTTAGAAAAACAAAAGCTGTAAAATGTTTGGTTTGAACAAAATATTTGGAAAAGTTTAAAAACAAAAACCCAAAAACATGTTTGTTAATTTTAATGCATAAAATGTTTATTTTGTTTGTTTTATTATTTATTATGACAATGAAAATCATGCAAATCATAAAATTATAATAAACATTTAAAATATAAATATATTAGTACAATACAAACCATAGATTAATCTAAAAGTTAGACATACATAATTGGATTCTATTTCCCATTACAATACATGTGAAACTTAATTGATCATAATTTTAATTAAAAAAAGTATGAAAGATTGTTTTTAAATCTATAAAAGTGACACTGAATCATTGCCAATTGAAGGGGTTATAATGGTCTTCCCATTTTCACCGTCGGTAAATTTTCTAATCTCAAAAGCAAATCTTTACAAAGCATTGATTGACAAAAAGGAAATGGCTCTCACAATGTACTAAGATAGATGGATGTAGAAAGCCCCAAATAGAATAAGGCCCCAAACGATACAACTGATCAAACCCCTGAAGCGAACATCTAATGCTATAGGAAAAATCTTAAACATGCAGTCTTAGATTTGTCCACATAGGAACAAAGATGATCGTCAGAGAAAATAACCGATGGTGGCTAGAAGCACTGCTGACGTGATATATAATTGGTGGAACCACCCTCCCCACTAAGAGATCGGGACTGTGAGGACAAGAGCAAGTATTATTAACCGTAAGGGGTTGGTTTAGTGGGTGCAATTTGGGGTTCAGGGGTGTGTTTCCTCTGGATCTCAGGTTTAACTCCTATTAGGAGCAATTCGCTCCTTGGAGCCATGCTCGCGGGTTCTTTCCGAGATTTGTCCAATTCATGTGGAGGGGGTCTTTGCGTGGGTCTCGGGATTAGTCGAGGTGCACATAAACTGGTTTAGACACCCAGCCATAAAAAAAGAAAAAAAGGAAAAAAAGAAAAAGGAACAAGTATTATTTAGTCTTGCCAGAGGGTTGTCGGAGTATCTCCAGAAATCACCCAAGTTTGGAAATCGCACGACTTTGTTATAAGGGTTTTGAAAAGATATTACCGTTGACATAAGATTGATATGCCTACCAATTTTTGTTTGCCTTGTTTTGAACCAATGACCAACTAAAGCGTTCTCTTTCTTTCTTTTAGTTTCTGTGTTTTTCTGGTTTGCACATCTGTTTTTATAAATAAATAAATAAAAAAAAAAACATAAACATCTTTTTTTTTGTTTCTATTTTTCAGCCTTATTTATAAATTGAGACTGCCCATTTATAAATCAAAAAAATTATCAAACAAATTTTTATGGTAGTTCTTAAAATTTTTGTAAATATAAATGAAAAACTGAAAACATAATGGTTACCAACAGACCCTTGGTTGTACAAAAGAATTAACTTTGTAACTTATACGACTTTCATGCTAAACTAATTCAAAAGGAGTTCTATTTTTTTCCATTTCCCTCACTTTCCACCATTTTTATCCTAACCAAACCTAGCCTTATTGATTACAAAAATTCGTAATTTTTAATATTCATAACATAATCATAATGATTCATAATTAAGATTTTTCTTATAATGTTTCATTTGTGTCCATTTGTAACTGCTCCACAAAATATACAAATTTGTTATGATAGAGAGGTGTGTATAGTAGTTTGGGGACCCTTTTTATTATTGTGGTTTATGTTGTATCACTTGTTGATTATTTCTGATTTGGAATATATATATATATATATATATATATATATATATATTTAAAGAAATCTAAAAGACATAAGTTGAATTGCTTGATGGTGAGATTAATTTGTTGATATTTACATTGCTCAAGTTAATACATTTTGCAAGCTACATGCTTTGAAAAATCTTACTGACAGTTAATACATTTTGCAAGCTATTCATATTCAAGGAAGTAAGTATACATTGAAGTTAAAATAAAAAATAAAATAAAATAAAAAAATTGAAGTTGTTGATATGTTTAGAAATTTTGCACATAAAAAAAGCTTCCCCCCACCCTACCAAAATTTTGCTGAATAGTTTAATGCGTGATAATAGTTTTATCACCAAAAATAGTTGTAAACTTCCATATCTATCAAATTTAATTTTTCAATTTATTTTAATTTTTTAATTAAAAAAAAAAATTTGTGCCGATTGTTAAAATTCTTCAATTTAGTTTCTTTGTCAATCTCGTCTCATTTGCTTGCATATAATATGATTGGCTGGTTGGTATATTGTCAAATTTATTGCTTATTATCCTAAGGCCAAGAAGCTAGCAATTTTTTACAGAAGTTTGACAGTTGACTTGCTACCCTCGGTATTTGGCTCCAGGATCTCCTATAATGAAATTGCAACTCTGATAGTAATACTTGGAAAGTAGTCAATGTACCAGTGCAATTCATTGGTTTAGTTTAAGTAAATACCTTTTTCTTTTTTTCATGTTGTTTAAAGTTTTATTTTCAGTTGTTTAATGTGCATTCTAATCTTGGCTGCAGTTTATACCATACTCATTCATAGAGAAAGAAGCTAGCCATGTTGAGGGTTTCAGTCCAGAATTGGCTGTTGTGACTATTGGAGGAGGAAAGGAACTTGAAGAAAAACTTGTGGTACATTCATCACTCAACAACTAGTAACTGTTTACTTTTTCTATTTTTGTCTTCCATGATTTAAGCTAATAACTTGAATTGATTTACATGCTGGTTCAAGTTCATGAAAAACTTTGACCTGAGTTTTGGCTTTGATTGTTGCAATTCTTGAGGTTCTGGCAGGTTAGACCTACTAGTGAAACCATTGTGAATCACATGTTTACTCAGTGGATTCATAGTTACCGTGATCTTCCTCTTATGGTCAACCAGGTACAGTGGTTTGTTGGATCCCTTTTCTTGTTGCTAGTGCAGGCATATCAACTACTGATTTTTTACCTGTGTGTACAACTGATCTATCTCAGTGGGCAAATGTCACAAGATGGGAGATGCGCACCAAACCCTTTGTGAGAACTCTTGAATTTCTTTGGCAGGAGGGCCACACTGCCCATGCCACTCTAGAAGAAGCAGAGGAGGAGGTTGGCATCCTATTTACCTAGATACTACTCCCAATAGTTCTGATGGAAAATCATTTTCCCATTTTCATTTAACAAATTGATGCTGCTGAACTGCAGGCATTACAGATGATTGATGTCTATACAAAATTTGCTTATGAGCAAACTGCAATACCTGTTATTGCAGGTCGAAAATCAAAAGTGGAGACTTTTGCTGGTGCTTCCAAGACTTATACAATTGAGGCTATGATGGGTGATCAGAAGGCTCTTCAGGCTGGGACCAGCCACAACCTTGGCCAGAACTTTTCTCGTGCTTTTGGAACGCAGGTCTGTGACATTTTGCGTTAGTTGTCTGCCTAGTTTCTTCCCAGGTCTCAGTTTTGACTCTTGATGCATAGTTCTGTGACTTTTGAATCATATCATTCCTCTATGATGGATTATCATTGATTATCCTTTTACTGACTTAAGTTCTGTGGTCTTTCAAAATATTTGTGTGTACCCAGTTCACTGATGAAACTGGACAAAGGCAACATGTATGGCAGACATCATGGGCTATCAGCACCCGTTTTATTGGTGGTATTATCATGACCCATGGAGATGATGCTGGTTTAATGCTTCCTCCAAAGATTGCACCAATACAGGTATTTGGATGCCTCATGTTGATTCCTAAAGTCAATTACTATTTGGGAACCTAACAATCTCTTTTATGTCATCAAAATCATTTGATATGAATTTCCATTAAGGCTGTGTTAAGATTTGCTTATGTATTGTTACTATTGGATATGATACTTTTGTCATTCAATGCTGACACAGTCACTTTGTGCAAAACAACCAGAGCTTGAGTTTTTACCTAGTCCACCCGCTCAGTGTCCCAGATTGACCGGAAGCCTTTCGTGTATTTAGTTGATAGAATAGAAGCATGTAATTAGTTTTATGAAGAAATTTCACTGCATGACGATTAAGCCGGAAAACTGTAGAATTAATTGGGTTCATACATACACAAGACTTGGGGGGTTAGATTGACTCAAGAAAATAATTTACTGTTTTTGTTAGACAATTGTTATTACAGTGTACCAAGTGTTCACCCCCTCATCTTTATGCAGTGGTCATTTAAATTGGAAGATATCAGTTTTTGGCCTCCCATGAACTAGAGAGAAGAATTATGTACGTCAGGACACTGAGTACTTTCCTCTTATGAAACCACGATTCCATCTAGTTTAAATGTTCCAATATGTAACTCATTGTTTATCACAATCAGAGTCTATCCTAGACTTCTCCAACCAAAGTTCTACATAGAAAATCAACGTCATCATTTTCTAATTCTTCGTCAGTTGAGTTTTTCAAGCACAACAATTAAATAATAGGAGACTTTTAAAAAAAGAAGCGCGATACACAAGGGATTAGTTAAAGGCATTGTTGTTAGTGCTGTTCCGTACCGGCTGGTACTGCCTAGTGTCACGGACTGAGCGCTTGTCATCCTCCCGAGAAGCCGGCTCCACGAGTGGTATTGCGTACCCCCGTGCATTATGCCCAAGGACCAACCCAGGAGATGCGATAGGGATCTACCCTGCCTGCCTTGCCACTCACAAACTAATGCGCTTGCAAGGTGCTTGGTGTAGAACTCGCATCCCTAATGAGTCGGTACGTGACATGCTACCACCACCAGTCCCTGACGCCCTCGTCAGGGGGACATTACCCTGCCTGCCCCCATGCTTGTCCGTTCCCCTACCCACAGGAAACTGACACCACCCTTGGTGCGGACGCCACAATGAGGGTGCTTGGTGTAAGTCCCACGTACCATCCCCATCACAGTGTCCCTAGGCTGGCTCTGATACCACTTGTCACGGACTGGGTGCTTGTCATCCTCCCGAGAAGCAGGCTCCACGAGTGGTACTGCGTACCCCCGTGCATTATGCCCAAGGACCAACCCAGGAGATGCGATAGGGATCTACCCTGCCTGTCTTGCCGCTCACAAACTAATGCGCTTGCAAGGTACTTGGTGTAGAACTTGCATCCCTAATGAGTCGGTATGTGACACCAGGATATACCCTTTTGGAGAAGAAATGGTACAGATGATCTTCAGTTTCGTTCTGGTAAAAATATCGGATCATTCCATCCTATCTCAGTGATTTTGGCTTTTTTCTAGTGATCCGACGTCTATACTGTAGTTTGTCCAGTACAATAGAAGAAACTATACTATGAGCTTTGAAGCTATGATATGACAACCACCTTCTCAGATTGGTGAAGTTCGCATTCGGTGGATTTTGTTGTGGTGGGTGGATCTTTTTTTTTTTTTGTTGATAAATAATCAATTTTATTAGAAAGGCATCAAGATAATGCAAAGAATACAAACTGCCAACCCCCAAGAAAAAAAGCTAAGCTATCAAATCATTTACAAAATCGACATAAGCTAACACATCTGGATCAACCAAACCCGTAACCCATTTGTATAACACCATAAACATCTGCCTCTCCAACCAAGAAATCGAGTGAGACACTCCTTGGAAAACACGTCTGTTGCGCTCCAACCAAATAAGCCACATTAAACAGTGAGAGGCAATCATCCATGCCTTTCGACGTCTCCTCCCAACCCTACCACCAGCCCAACTTTGCAAAACTGCCAACATCGAACCTGGCTGTATCCAAACCACACCAAAAGTATCCGCAATAGGCATCCAAAGTCGATATGTAACAGGGCAATGCACGAGCACATGGTCTACCGATTCAGCATCACAACACCAATTCACCATAACATGCCCACGGCGCATCAGATTGTCGATCGTCAGAATACGTCCTAAGGCTGCCATCCATACAAAGAAAGCTACCTTAGATGGTGTGCCCGACACCCAAACACATTTTCAAGGGAACGAAACCGCATCAATATGAGCAAGCGCACCATAGTATGAAGATACAGAAAAAAGCCCTTTAGAGCCGGAATAGACCCAAACTATAGAATCTTCCCCTGCACTCCCAGCTTTCAGCCCATATAAAAAACCCAACATCTCCACTAACTGATCCACCTCCCAATCCTAAATCTCACGACGTAACCGCACATTCCAAACCACCACCGGACCTTAACCCGTTCTAACTGCCCCCACCAAAACCTCACAATCTTCCGCAATACCAAAAATCAGAGGAAACAACTGTTCCAAAGCAATATCCCCACCAAGGTTTTGAAAACCGGACCGGACCGGCCGGTTCGACCGGTTGAACCATCGACCGGTCGGGGTTTCGGTCTGGACGTACCCTCTGAACCGGCCAAAGATGACACCATTTTCAGGTACATGTGATATGCCACCTCCAAGGGTATAGCTTGGGAGGTTTTGGAGCTGAAGGCTTCATTTTGATGTTTTGTCAATATTTGTATCTAAATGTAAATCTAAGCCGAGGGCTTTACTTGTAAAAGAGTTAGAACTCTTCTTTTGTGTAACCAAGTAACAACTTGGAAAGATGTAAGCTCGCGGGCATTTTATTGTTTTGTAAACATTTGTAACTTATATGAAATATCCTTTTGTAATATTAACTCTGATGAATGGAAATGTGACTTAGCTATCATGTTTATAGAACTGTTAAATGATGGGTTTGGGTATTATTTTTGAGGGCATTACAATGTGGGATTCAATCAAATGTATTGGAGGGAATATTGAAATTTTGATATCCCTCCAAAATTTTTGCTCTCCTTTCAATCAAATTATTTGAATTAAAATCATATGGAGAGAATATTAAATATTTGATTTCATCTACCAAAATTGAAATTAAAAATATTTTAAAATATATTATCATATTTTTCAGTAAAAAAAATATTAGGACAAATATTTAAGATAATTTAATATTTTTAATTTACAATTTTATTACTTATATTTTTATTTAAATATAATTTTAATATATTTATTACGTCACGGTTCAATTCCGGTTCAACCCGACGGTTGAACCGGTGACCTATCCACCCGATCCCTTTTCCGGTTCGCTCACCGGTCCGGTTTTTAAAACATTGATCCCCACACCACCTATCACGTCAGAAACAAACTCGATCTCCTAACCCTACCTTGGGCTGACTCCTCCGCTAAAACTCCTCCCAACCCAACCAAACTCCTTTCCAGACACCACAATCGTGAGGCTGCCCCACCCTACTCGAACACCACCCCCCTCTGAGCAGACTAAACTTGGCTGCATCCACCTTCCTTCATAAATGCTCTGTTTCCCCTACAAATCGCCACAACCACTTACCCAGTAATGTTAAATTAAACATAACCAACCGCCTAACTCCCAAGCCCCCTTACTCCTTAGGACGACACATGCGATCCCATGCCACCAAATGAGAATTAGAACCCTCCTCCTTTTTGCCCCATAGAAAATCCTGCTGCAACTTCTTTATCCGCTTCGCAATTGCCACCGGGATCACCTGAACCGACATAAAATAAGTCGGAATACTCGACAAGACACTCTTGACAAACGTAATCTTCCCGCCTTTAGATAAATATTGCCTCTTCCACCCAGCCAACCGCCGTTGCACATGCTCCACTACCTTGCCCCACACCCTGAGTGCCTTGAAAGCTCCCAAAGGAAGACCAAGATATGACACTAGCAGAGAAGCCATTTTGCACCCCAAAATCGCCGCCAAAACCGGAAGTCGATCCACCTCACCTACGGGAATTAATTTAGACTTTGAAAGATTGACCCGAAGACCAGACAGCCTCAAAACAAAGCAACACACACCAAAGATGTCCAATCTGACCAGCATTAGCATCACAGAATACAAGAGCATCATCCGCATAAAAAAGATGGGATACGACTAGAGAATTGCGACCAGAACCCACCTCAAAGCTCTACAGTAGACCTCCATGAACTGCTCTAGACAACAAAGGCCCCAAAGCTTCCATAACCAAAAGAAACAACAATGGGGATAAGGGATCATCTTGCCGAAGGCCTCGATATGTGGGGAAAAAAACCTACTAGAGAGCCGTTGACCAACATAGACATCCGCATAGTAGATATACAGGAATGAATCCAGCGCTTCCATCAAGCCCCAAAACCCATCCTCTCTATTATGTACAATAGAAACTCCTAACTAACATTGTCATATGCCTTTTCAATATCTAGTGTACACCTAATCCCCGCCTTTCTTTGCCTCAACCTCGAATCCACACATTCATTGGCCACCAAAACTGCATTCAGTGTTTGCCGACCACCCACAAAGGCATTCTGAGACACCACCCCTCCTAACACCCCTCGCAGCCAATTTGCCAAAACCTTGTATACACACTACCCAAAAGACTAATAGGGCGAAAGTCCCAAATATCCTCTGCTCGACCTTTCTTGGGAATCAACACAATAAAAGTAGCATTCAAGCTCTTCTCAAACTAGCCCGTCCAATGAAATTGCTCAAACATAGCCATTACATCCTCCTTTACCACTCCCCAACAATGCTGGAGAAAAGCTATAGAAAAATCGTCAGGCCCTGGCGCCTTAGCCCCAGGCGCCTTATCCCCAGGCATACTCCGAAGCGCCTCAAACACCTCTACATCCGTATACGCCCTCTCCAACAAAGGACAATTCGCCTTTGAAATAACATCAAACGGAACCCCATCCAAAGTCGGTCTCCAAACTCCCTCATCAGGCCGAAATAAAAACTCATAAAAACCCACTATAGCCCCCTTGATCTCCTCCATGGATGATAACACCACCCCATTCACCCGTAGTTTCCCTATCTGATTCACTCACCGATGCGCATTTGCCATATGGTGAATGAAACTCATGTTCCGATCCCCATCCTTTAACCATAAACATCTGGATTTTTGACGATAACTAATCTCCTTCATATGAGCCACGCGACCAAATTCTGTGCGAACCGCATCCCGTTGAGCCAGATCCTTCTCAGACAAGGGACCCCCGCCCTCTTTCTCATCCAACCCCTACAATACTGTCAAAATATTCACCTTCTGAGTCTGCAGCCTCCCAAACACCTCCCTATTCCACTGTTTCAGATCCAACTTGAGAAACTTCAATTTTTGAGCTAAACGACAACTCAAATTCCCAAGCACTGCATAACTGCCCCACCATCCCCTCACAGTCTCCCCAAAACCTTCAGACAAAAGCCACATATTCTCAAATCAAAATGGCGACGGTCCCCTACTGATCCCCCCACTGTCCAGTAAAACTGGCCAATGACCCGAAGCAGGACAATGCAACTTGAGTTGAGTTACCTGGGAAAAATGCCCCTCTCAATCTCCAGTTACCAGAAACCTATCAAGACGGGACATCGCCCTGCCCCCCAACCAAGTATAACCACCCCCCTGAAGCGGCAAGTCCAACAAATCCATTGCATCAATAAATGGCAAAAAAACTCGCATAGATCCAGACACTAAGCTTGCCCCATACTTCTCCTCCATGCACCGCACCGCATTAAAGTTACACCCACACACCAAGGAATCCCCCACCGAAAAGCAATAGACTGAAGCTCCTCCCAAAACGTAGCCCGGTCTGACCGTCTAATGGGGCCATAAACCAAGGTGAAAGCCCACCGATAATCATCCGCAACACAGCAAAACAAACAAGAAAGCGAGAAAGTCTCCTCCTCCACATCCTCCTTCTCCACCACCCGCCGGTCCCAACACAGAAGGACACCCCCAGCCACCTCCAAAGACGGTAAAAAAGTCCAATCCACAAAGCGCCCCCCCCAAAGCTCCCTGATAGTCTCCCCTCCAAAGCACTCCATCTTTGTTTCTTGAAGACACACTATATCTGCCCTAGCACTTCTCAACAGAGAATGAACTAAAACCCTTTTCCCTCTATCATTCAACCCACTCACATTCCATGACAAAATTTTTAACTGCATGGCAACAATAACAGAGTTCCATGGCCCTTTCTATCACCTCTCCCCTCCCCTTCCCTCCCCGCCTATGAATAGAACATTCTAACTTACGCAACTCCCTGGAATGCTTTTGTTTTTGACCTTCAGTGTGCACCTCCTTTCCCAAAGGAACACCCCCTTCCCAGGATTCCTCTATGGCAGAAAACAAGTTGAAAGCCTCATCTTCATGGCCTTCAAAGGAGACACCCAAAAACTAACCTACCTAGATAATATGGGAAAGCACCCAGGCCGAAACCTCCTCTGGCTACGGAGGATCAAGTCCCTAAAAGTCTACCTTTGTCTCAGGCTCTACATCAACGTCCACCTCATTCCCCACATCTGGCATCACAAACTCAACCTCTGGCCGAACCACCAAGGCCAACTCTTCTACCATATTTGCCCAATGAGTGTCGTCATCACCCATCGTAGCCGTACGCCCATCCCAGTGAGTCGACAAATCCACAGCCCCCGCACTCTTAATCTATCGCCCAACTCTTCCTCCAGCGTCGGCGATCCCAATCGCGGCGACAAATCCACGTCCACAATAGTATTAGACTGTCGGAAGTCAGGTGACAGCGTCCCTACAAGCCCTAAGGCTCTCACAACTCCAACGAAGACCCTTGCACGCGATCGACCAACGGGCAATTTTCAGTTCCGTCACACTCCGTCGTGGCGAGAAGATGCACTTTCAGGTTAGTCTGCTCCGGCAGTGTTGGGTTTGATTGGCTCGACCCATGAGAACTTTGCCTAAACGCGTAGCTCTACTAGCCCACAGAAAAGGGCCCATGGCCCAACTCCTCCAGACCCACTTTCGTGGCCAAAACCTGTTTGCCCACACCATGGCCCACCCCGCTTTGGGCCTTAAAAAGACCCAGTGAGCCCACACCCTGATTCCCAATAGTGGGCCTAACAAAGGTGGACCGGCCCAACTGGCGTTGACCCTTAGTTAGCCTCACAAATCTCCATAGATAATCATCCGACCCAACTGGTATATCAAGGAAGTTGGTTTGAAGATGCCCATGGAGTCCACATCATTGAAGTCTACCAGTTCTGAGTCTTCCCAATGGCAACCTCCATCTGAAGCCGCCTTCTAGTGCTGTTCAAGGTCACTGAACGTCCCTTCCTGATGATGATGTGAGGCTTATAGTTGTTGTCTACCATTAGGTGTCTATATAATCTACACTCTTCAGAGCCAAACCACCTAACCTAATCTTGTATTCATTTATATCTCTCTCTCTATTTATCTAAATTTAAGTGTGCTCACAATCTAATATTGTTACAAAACAAAGAAAAATTTTAAAAATCAAATCCACATTGTTTACATTTAAGTAAATATAAATATAAATCCATAATGGTGCTCCGAAATGCATAGGTACTGGTACATACCATATCAATGGCAAAACCCGATTAGTATGGTATCCACAACATTGGTTAAAGGAGGAATGGGAGGAGAAATGAGTCATCGCAATTATGTTTTCTTTGACAAGAACAAAGACTTTGTTATTATGCATCTTTGTATACATCTAAATCTAAATTCACATGTACATGTATGTACATAATAAATGCAAGCACACATAATTATGTATTTGCCATGTGCTGTCCTATTTTTAAAAATTTACGGTGTCCTTATGTTTGTGTATATGCAGCATATTTCAATTATACTTTAGTTTTAATTCTTGTTCTTCTTGTTTGTTGTTGATTCTGTCCCTTGAATGTGCATTACATGCGTCCAGGTAGTAATTGTACCAATTTGGAAGAAGGATGATGAAAGAATAGGAGTTCTAAATGCTGCATTATCTGTGAACAAGATTCTGAATACTGCAGGGATCAAAGTAAAAATTGATGACACAGATCAGAGAACCCCAGGATGGAAATTCAATTTCTGGGAGATGAAGGTTTGTTCTTGCTTTTGAAGCATAGTTGTATATTGTTAATTGAAAAACATGAAAAAGAAAAAGAGGGATTTGGTCAAAGTCCCCTCATAATAAAACTTTAATGCATTAGGACGAGTACAAAAAGTTTTCCTTATTACCAAATTATACTTAGTGACTAATTTAATATTTTAAACTTTAAAATAATATAACTTTTGATTTAGATGTCGGTTTTTAATAAAATTAGTATTTTTAGAATCATCTCATCAAGATCTATCAAATAAGATCTATGTTGACTATGTAAAAAAAAAAAAAAAAAAAGTCAAAATTGACGTAAACAGTAACATATTATTCTATTTGACAATAACATATTACTCTGATTCACAGTAATATGTTATTCTGGTTTACAATAACATTTTACTGTTACAAAAAAATAGAGTACATACTAGATGAACCAACTAAAAATACACATGCACAACATTTTTAAACTTGTATAAAATAAAATAAAATAAAAGTGTTGTTCGTCAAAAGAGTTCTGTGAGACATATATATATATATATATATGTGCATGGGCAATATTGTCCAAGAGAAAAAAAAATAATTTTACTCTGTCTTTGCTCAATTATGCGCCTCTTCCTTAGGGGATTTATAAAGCAAAATAAATTGGGTTGTGCTTTTCACCAAATAAGGGTCCAATGGAGGGGTTTTGGCTAAATTTTCCAAAGAAAAACAAGCACAGATACACATGCACTATGATCCAAAAGGGATGCACTAATCATCATGTTGCCATACTCTTTTTTCTAGTAGAATGCAATTGTTGGCCCCATTTGTGGCCTTTTCTATTTTCACTCAACAAATTCCTCATGTATAAGCTATGTTACACAACTTGTCAAAATAAATCAAATACCCATGTTGGACACCCGACACTCGGACAAGGGTATGGGATGTGTCAGATACTTTTCAATAGATACTTCTTATATAATTGTATATAACACTATTATTATATGTACATATTGTTGTATAATTGTTACAAATGTCTTTTTAACACTATAAGTTGCATATAACACCATTTTATCTCACATACTTGATTAAAAATATAAAAATATGATTTTTTTTTTTGCCGAGTCCGCATACCCTTAAATTTATGGTTTGATACATATCCGCACCCGACATCCGTACCAAGTCCATGTAAAATAGTGTATAAGCCATCTCACATCTTTGTGTGAATTTGATGGGATTCTAGATTTTCTTATCAAACTATTGCCACAAACCAAACCCCCTCGTTTGATCTCCAAAAATGCAAGAGAGCCAAAAGTTAGCGTTTCAAGACACATCCATAAGTCTGTCTCACTTACAGCTTGGCATAGGCATTGAAACCCTTTTGCAAGGGGAGTTGTTCTTGCTCCATCATTACCAATTTTTGTGCGTTTTGTCTTTTGCCGAATGAGTTGGTCTGCCTTTATGTCTAATAAGAAGCCCTGTGCACGTTTGAGATTTCAAAAAGTAAACCTAATACTAACAACAAAATAAGTAAAAACAAAATAAAGTATTATATGATGTTGTCTTGTAATATCTTATATTCCTTTTTTAGGGAGTCCCTCTCAGGATTGAAATTGGTCCCCGTGATGTTTTAAGTGAGAGTGTGGTCATATCTAGGAGAGATGTTCCTGGAAAACAAGGAAAAGTTTTTGGGATATCCATGGAAGCTTCAATTCTGGTAGCTTATGTGAAAGATAAGTTGGATGAGATCCATTCTTCGCTTCTGGGGAAGGCAATTTCATTTCGGGATAGGTGCATTCTTCATCCCTATGATGTTTTACATTGTAAATTATTATTTATGTGCTGTACAGCAATATAAAGGCATGAGATTTGTTCTTTATGGCGGTTCAATATATAAATAGCAAAATGATCATTAGCTTTCTGCATGTAGAGGATTATGTCACTGCCATTACAAAACACGCAAGCACACAGATTTATTTGAAAACACACAGTATCTATGGTTCAATATGTTTTGGATGTCATCTGAACATGCAAAAACTGTGGAAAATGCTTAAAATGAGATTTTGCTGCAATCTTTAGGTTGTGTTTGGATCATGGATTTGAGTAGGGAGAGGAAAGGTGCGAAAATGTAAATGAAATATAAGTTAAATTTTTTCTCCATATCTCTTGCCTTTTCCTTTCTGTTTTCAAATACGTACCCAAATCCATGATCCAAACAAAACCTTAGGAACCAAGTGTTATGTTAGAATCTTTATGCTTACTTGTAAACTTGAAGTTATTGCTAGCTTTAGATCTAGTTAGATTGGATCATATACTCGCTTGTTTACATAATGGATCTATGTAGTCAGCACATATGGAGTTTTGAAGTCAAAATTGTGTTTCCTTAAGCGTGGTACATTGACTGCTTGCCTCTCTTCTCTGTATTGGACAGTTTGTATTCTTGCTTCCCATCTTTCAGTCCTTTGAATTTGTTCACCAAATCCTTGCCTTTCTGCTGTGTTTGACAGTTCGTTTTCCTTGCTTTGTATCTGTTGGTTTTTGGTATATTGGTCGAATAATACCCTTAAACACATTTATAATTCCTCTGCAGTAACATTGTGGATGTGAACTCATATAATGAGTTGAAAGATGCAATTAGTCAGGGGAAATGGGCAAGGGGTCCCTGGTCTGCTAGGTAATTGTTTGTTTATTTGCCTCTTATTTTTTTGACCATGTATATATGGGGTTTATAGGGTTGGTGTGCTTAGTGTTTAATCTTTTACACAGACAACATGTAAAAATCTGTCAGATCCTTATGAACATGAAATACCAATATGGTGACAGAGCAGAATGACAAAAATGAATTCAATGTAGTGGACCCCACATGAGCACAAAGCTTAGTTTGGTTTGGTTTTTAGGGTTAATGTTTATGTTTATCATAATGCAATTGTGTATTTCTAAGATCACTAACATTTGGTGGCACAGTGACAAAGATGAGTTGAGGGTGAAAGAAGAAACAGGGGCAACGATCCGGTGTTTCCCTTTTGAACAGCCCGAAGGCAGAAGTAAGACATGCTTGATGACGGGCAATCCAGCAGAGGAAGTTGCAATTTTCGCCAAGTCATACTGAATCTCCAGGCATGCACTAATATCCATTTTCCGGCAACTATGTTCTCTAATCAATTGTTGGTGTTCTTCCTCATAATATGTAGTATAGATTGCACTAGGCTGTGTATTTTATGAATTGTTTTGAAGTTTCAAAGCTGATAGTTCATTATAAGTCGTGATTTCTATAAAAAATGTACATTTATGAAGACAATTTTGGGAAAATGGAGTTTTTCAGGAAGAGTGAGGCATTGGTATAAGGTGTTGCGGAATGATTTTTGAAGTAAATTTAAGATCCTGAGAGCAGGAGGGTTGTCCTGGTGGTCGGGGCGTTATTGAAAGAAATGATCGTCTGTGTGCTCTCTTTTGAGCTGGTTTCAATATATACCTACATGGATGTTGAACTATTTTCAAATATTCATAGTTATTTGGGGATCTTCAAAACTTCTCCTCTTGTTTCTTTACTTGTCCTTATGAAGCCTTATCCCACGTAGGAAAAAGAGGAGAAAAACAACGCAATAAGAAATGAAGTCATGAAATCTTAATTTAAAGAGAACCAAGGACCATGCTAGTGTGCATCACACAATGGTGCGAAGCATCATTTGCACACATGCGGGCAGCTAGGTGTACTGTGGCATATGATTAAGACCGTCCATTTTTATGAAACATGATTGGTGAAGATAAGACAATTACCATTATTACGATCACATAGTGAAACTCACATCGGTTCAGTACATGTAATAAATGACTTGATTGGATGATCAGAATTTAAATTGCCATGATGACTGTTAATTACAGTCGCATACTAGATTTTTTGTAATTTATATATTCAAGTTGCATACTAGATTTGAGCAGTCCAAAGATGTAGAAATATTGTATTGCTCTTTCTATATGCAAAAGGTATTCTGTAAGGCAGTTTGTTTTTATTTTTGTTTCGTCTTCTATTTTTACATTCAATTTTCTGCAGAAATAGAACTCCACATAGCATAGGATGGGCTTCATTGTATCCTAGAGATGATTTGTCATAACACGTTTCACACTAACAATGGGGGGGCAAATAATGTCTCAAGGGTATCGAGGTTTGCAACGTGCCTGGAAGAAGTGTTCTCTATTGTTCTAGACATCATCACCATTCAATTTTTTCTAACAATAGATATATGCATTGTTAATGTGTTGGATTTGTTTTTACTAATTTTAGAAGAAAAAAAGTGAATCATTGTGTAAAAGTAGAGGCATATATGCCTAGGAAACAGAGTGAGATTGCCTGGATGACCTTTATGCCTGTGGTGGCATAGGGTGGTTGAAGCTTTGTTCTTTTTCTCATTTTTTTTAGATTCTTTATTAATATGATTATTATAGTACTCCCTTTATTATTTTGGTGAACAATATTACGTGCATAGAATTTGTACCCAAAAAAAAAACTAAAAAAAACTCTGAATATTCAATGTACCGTCTAAATTTATTTAATCTCAACTATATATTATTTTGGAGTATATTTCTGTACACAGCTTTACTGTATTTTTGTTTCGGTAGAAAGTGGGGAGTTAACTACTACTAGGCTAGACAATGTGACTTAAAGTTGAGTTATCTGAACTAATTTACAAAGTAGTCACTATGACATGTTTGTGGATAAAAAATATCAACCCTTCAATCCATCAACCCATATGCTCACTGCTTTTTCTTTTTTTTTTTCCCCATTTTGTATTTTTAATTTACTCAACTTGCTCAAATTACTAATTTAAATTTGTCAAAATATTCAATCAACCTGTAATTTTCAAGATAGGTGGGTTAATGACGGGTTGTAACTCAAAAGTGATTCCATTGATAATTTTCATATAAAATCAATTCAAATCAATCGGTTGAGACCTGTATTAGTCGCCCCTCAGCCGCTAGGTTTAGTAACCTTGATATCATGAACTAAAGATTAGATTTTATTTTTTTTTAAAAACTTTTTAGTGATTTTTTTTTTTTTTTAAAATTTACTTTTAAGTTCTATAGATTAGAACTTAAAAAGTTTAATTAAAAAAAACCGATTGAAGATTAAAAAATAAAAATAAAAATAGTTTTTTAATTATAAAAAAAAAAAAACTTTTAGACTAGGTGAATATGAAAAAGTAAAATACAATTGAATATAAATTTTAAAAAAAAATTGTTAAAAAATTGAAAAATGTTAACAGGTTGACCATTGCCTTGACTTTGGCCTTATGATGCGGAATGAGTTGTGTTAGGCAATAGTCAATATTTGGCTCTATATGTGGAAATTATGGACACCATGCAACTTAATCCCCCAATTAATCACTAATTGTCATGTCCTTTATCATTTATCATTAGGAAAAAAAAAATACGAGTGTAACAGTGACACTTTTATCTCCCACTAACTCACATATCAAAAATGCTTGTTGAATCACGTGATATCACCGTTATATCAAATATTTATTTCTGCTATTACGTCAAATATTTATTAGTGTGTATTAACGCACAATAAATTGTAACAGAATTTTTGTAGTATGTATTAATTGTAATTTATTTATTTATAAAAATGAACCTAATTTTGCGTATTAAATACTTGTTAATTTAGAAAATAATTAGTGCTACAATAAAAATGTTAAAATGTATATTAAGAAATAAAAGTAAATAAGAAAATTAAAATTAACACGTTAGTTTCCCCTCTCCTTTATCTCTGTCTTACCTTTATGTCAATGGGAGGCCGCTCTCCCTTCTTCCTGTTTTTCACTCTCCTCTCCTTTTCATTAGTTCACTATTCATAATTAACAATACAACTTAACACATAACTGTTCTTTAAACTTTAAAAAAATAAAATAATAGGTCTTGAATTAATCAATAAAATGTGCAATCTAATTTTGTGTGTTAAGTGATTATCTAAGTGATTATTAATTTAGATAGTGGATAGATGCTTATATAATTAAAATGTGTTAAATAAATATAAAATTAATCAGTATGTTTAGTTTCAGTTTTCTAAATTCAGTTATTTGAAAATTTAGTTTTTTGTTTTTTTGTTTTTTTTGTTTTTAGTGAATATTTTTTAAAAATTTTAAGCATTTTTTTTATATTTTTAGATGCACATTATTTAAATGTATCTAAATAGTAAAATATTTATGAAAAAATATTTTTAAAAAATAATAAATACACAAAAATATGAAAAATCCATTTAATGTGGTTCAAGTAATCACCTATCTTTCTTTGTTGGAATCTATTATGTTTAAGTCCTGTGATTACACATTATTTATTGCCACAAAAATATAATTGTTGCACAGAGTAAAAGGTTTTTATAAAGTGAGCAGATTCAAGCTCTATCTAACTGATAAATTTCGTAGAAATCATCCAATGTAGCAGACTATTTGACTAGTTTTGCTCAAGATACAACAACTTGGCTATACGCCGTGTTAGTTCAACCTCTCTGTACAAGAGATTAAACCGAAAACTCTATTAACGAAACACTTATAAATTGTCTAAAAATTTGTATGGAAAATATAGCACAAAAGGGCACAAATACAAAAAACGAAAAAGATTATGGTACATACCTTTTTAAAATAGTATATTATATACACCTTATAATTAAATAAAAAATATTATAATTTTATATTTTTTGAGTTATAATTAAAAAAAAATCATAATCAAACAATAAATAAGGTATAACTAAAAATTTCATGAGTTATAATTAAAAAAAATTAATTATAACCAAAAATTAAAATAATATAACTTAAAGATATATATGATAGAGATGTGTACACTAAAATTTTCTTTTAATTTTTGACACAAACACACACCACTAACATACATTAGAGTGAAAAATACATCAAATTTCGTTGACTAATTTCACCAATTGGAGTTAGCGCAAGAGCTGACAAGGTATGGAAAAAAATAATGTGATATGGCACGGGCAAGTATGGGGGTTATACCAATCAAGTTATTCGGATTTGATTCGTGTTTAATTTGTTAATAATTTATTTGAGATCAATTTATTATGTAAATATGTTAAATTTAAATATAATTTTAAACTTATTAAGTTTTTAAATCAAAGTTGAACAAACTACTACTTGTTTGATGAGCTTATATGCACTATAAAAAATTAAGTTATTCAAGTTCAATTCATATTCAGCTCATTAAAAACTCATTCGAAATTGACTTATCATGTAAACAAGTCAAATTTAAATATAATTTTAAACTCATTAAATTATCATTAAATCAAACTTGAACAACCTATTACTCACCGTGACTCGGCTCGTTTTCAATCCCATCTGCAGGTCTTGCAAATGCAAGGTAACCTATGGGCAAGGGTGAACATTGGGTAGGGCTAGGCAGGTCAAAGCAGATCTTAAGCCCAATAGGCTTAGGTTGAATTGGTTCATCGGGCAAAACCTTAGGCCAAAGTTCTACCTAACAAACTCGCATGAGTAGACCAATAGGTCAGGTTTAGCCAAATGAGCCAACATTAAAGGCCATTTTTTTATAGGTTCGAAGGCTTGCCCGATGAGCCACCTCTTACATGCCAATGAATACGGTCAGGCTTCAAACCCAAAGCCTATGCCCATCCTCATTTGGGACAAGTCACCTAGGGTATGGGCTAGGCCAAGGTAGATGGAAGATAAATTAGAATTGAATGAATATTATTTGACATGGGTAGGCCCATAAAGGCCATAACCCACTATGAACAACCCAAGCCTACCACTTAGGGCCCAATACGTAACCCAACCGATGAGGCCCAGCACAGCTGGAAGTCAACATGACATGAAGGACCAATGATATTTAGACACGTAGTAGGTAAAGGGCAAGCCACAACAGCATACAAAAATCTGCAAAGTTATTGCCACTGCACATCACCATTAATGCAGCCCCTCACAGTATTTATTACGACAACACCTCTCCGTCGAGACAGCACGCCCTCACCCTGAACAAGGTAAGCTACAGCATAGACTTTTGGCCAAGATGACAGGTCGGGCGGGACAACGAAATGATTACCAAAGGATATAAGCAGACGTTGAAGACAAGAAAAAGGTTAAGTTTTTCTATCTCTGATCCATATCTCTACATTTCACTTCTTTCTCTAACTTGCTCGTCAGAGGGTTCGCTGGAGGACACCCCGTTTCCCGTTTAACTCTTGTGCAGGTTCTCAGGTAGGCTTGACCACTCGGATATTGGCTCGAGAAGCGTGGATCAGTCCAATGCCAGGAACCCGTTGTATCATAACTGTATCATCAGTTGACACCGTTTGTGGAAAGGCTTTGCTCCACGTGCCAGTTGTGCTCATTGTCGCCGGAGACCCTGTTCCAATAACCTTTTCTTGCTACCCATCAACGTGTATGGTCACGACTAGATCCATGGCTTCTCACCAAAATGCTGCCGACCATCAAGCCGACCCCCCCAATCCAAACAACCCACCACAGTATTTCATCGAGCTTACCAACAGCATCAACCGCATGGCC